GGCCGAGCCACCCCAGGGTGGCTCGGCCAAGGCCGAGCCACCCCTGGGTGGCTCGGCTATGGCCGAGCCACCTAGGGGTGGCTAGGCTCAGAACTGTGCAAACGCACAGTTCTGAGAGCCTATAAATAGGCCTGGTACTCGTTCATTTGGAGGACTTCTTCTGAAACTTTGGAGAGAGCCGAAACTCTGGTGGCTCGGCCAAGGCCGAGCCACCCCTGGGTGGCTCGGCTATGGCCGAGCCACCTAGGGGTGGCTAGGCTCAGAACTGTGCAAACGCACAGTTCTGAGAGCCTATAAATAGGCCTGGTACTCGTTCATTTGGAGGACTTCTTCTGAAACTTTGGAGAGAGCCGAAACTCTGCCGGATTGTCACCTCAACTCGGAGATCTGAAGGCTTGAAGACTTGGAGACCCGGATTTGATTCTTAGCGAGCACCCGCACCGAAAAAGGCAGGAGTTCGAGAGAGTCTAATCCTCAGATCTACGTCGTTACACTCCGGATCTAAGCTTGGTTCTTAGATCCCGAGATTCGAGCGGTCGTTTCCTTGGTGAAACGATCCCTCCCGGCTATTATCTCCTTGGTGGGATAATACCCGTAATACGTCGTAGATCTGCTTGGATCCAGATCACGCGGTGGTCCACGGTAAGCAACCCCGGCGCAGGCAAACAACCCACAGAAGCAAGAGACCGGATAACAGGATCTTGATTTGTTCGACATAAAAGAGAGAAGTTGTAATTTTGATTTCTTTGTTTTATTTTGATTTTCATTGTAAGCCGGATCTTATAAAAAGACTGGATCTCTTTGTAACGCATAAAGTTGTTAACTGAGTGCAATGGAATCGATAATGAAGAAAACACCAACTTTCCCCGCGAACACCCCAATGTGTAAATAACTGAAAAAAAGAGAAAAGGGACTTACTGCTCATTATGGTGGTGGAGGAGGTGGATAGCCATGAAGTAGTGACCATTGGTGCATATGTTGCTTCTGGTCATTCATTATTCCAAGTGTATTGCCAAAATTGTCCAAGCGGGTGTCCATGATGAGAACAGATCTGGAAGTTTCAGATGTTGAATGAAAGAATTTGGTCTATGAATGTTGGCGTTGCTCTGGGCGTAACGACAAGGGCGGTGTCTTAGCGCTAGAGGCACGCCTGGCGATTTGGTGGTGTTGGATGTGATGAATGAGAGAGAGGCGGAAGTGTTGAGTGGTGGCGATTTGGTGGTGTTGGATGTGATGAATGAGAGAGAGGCGGAAGTGTTGAGTGGTGGAATCAAAGTTGAAGAGGGAAGTGGTTTTGGGAAAGTTGTTAGTCGGCGATTTTGATGGTGAAGGATGAAAGAGGACGGTGGTTTAGGGTGGTGAAGGGAAGGGATGCGGCTGTTTGCTCGAAGAGGTGGGGTGGTCAGTCGGTGGTGGTTTGTAGGGGGGGGGTTGATGGGTTAGGTCAAAGAAGGTAGAAGGAGGGGGGTCTAGAACGAAAAAGAAGGGGGGGGTGGGGCAAAATGAGTCTGGAATTTTTTTTTTCTTTGGCCTTCCCAGGGTGTGGTAGACTCTGGAAATGAGATGAAGACTGTCCCGACTGCTACACGGCTGTGTTGGTGGACACGGCCTAGCCGTGTAAACTGTGTATTCAATATTTTTTTTCTTCTGCCTCTTTAGCCTTGAACTCTCTATTACCTATTTTCTCTTTGTCATTCACCTACACACCAGTTCACGGCAACCTGATTACATGCCATGAAAACTAATAATTAAAACACTAAAAAAAATGAAAATGAAAGAAAAACTTGGGTTGCCTCCCAAGAAGTGCTTGTTTATGGTCATGAGCTCGACCCCTTCAATGCTCACAATGATGATGAATCGGGAAGGGTAAAAGTACCCAACTTCTCGATCAGAGTTCCTGTGAAATAATGCTTTAATCGCTGTCCATTGACCTTGAAAGATCCCGTGGCTTCACTCCATACTTCGACAGCCCCAAATGGGTATATATTGCACACTTGGAATGGTCCAGACCACCTCGAACAAAGTTTTCCCGGAAAAAGCTTGAGTCGGGAATTAAGTAGAAGTATCAAGTCTCCTTCTGTAAACTCTTTACGGAGGATATGTTGATCATGCCACTTCATTGTTCTTTCTTTGTAAATCTTGGCATTCTCATACGCATCCAATCTCAATTCATCAAGTTCATCTGGTTGAAGCTTTCTCTGTTCCCCTGCTTCTTTCAAATCTAAATGAATGCTCTTGATAGCCTAATGTGCCTTATGTTCCTCTTCAACTAGTGGAGATGGACTGGTTCTAGACTTCTTCTGCTGCTTTTTGACACGACTGTGTCTACGAACACACCATGGCCGTGTGGAATCATTATTCAGCATCTTCCCAGGTGCAGTTTTCTCTTCACAAACCTGTTCTGGGCTGTTTCTGCTGCTTTTTGACACAGCTGTGTTTACAGACACAACCTGGTCATTCAGCCCCCTTGTAATTTCGACCACTATATCAGGTTCTTTGATGTAGGTGGTTTTGGTGTAGGTTGGCTTTTCATCAAGCATTGTAACATAGGAAGTTATTTCCTGATCATCATCATCTGGTACCCCATTCTTTACTAAACATTTCTCAAGTGGATCACTTGAGATATCTCTGGTAAAATCTTCTCTAACCACCATGTCAATCGTGTCAATCCTGCAACAAGTATCATCAATTAGTGGAAACTTCATAGCAGAAAACAAATCAAAATTCACCTTTTCATCCCCTATATTGAGAGAGAGCTTTCCATTCTTCACATCAATTATCGCTCCAGCGGTAGCAAGGAAAGGTCTTCCCAATATAATGGGGATTTGAGAATCCTCCTCCATTTCAAGAATAACAAAATCAACTGGAATAAAGAATTTACCAACCTGGATGGGTACATCCTCTAATATACCTACCGGACGTTTAACCGATCGATCCGCCAATTGGAGGGAGATAGTAGTAGGCTTCAAGTCTCCCATCTGTAACTTGTTACATATAGACAATGGCATAAGACTAACACTAGCACCGAGATCACATAGAGCATGATTAATTGACATATCACCAATTGTGCAAGGGATTGAAAATGAGCCAAGATCTTTAAGCTTACGTAGTAGCTTATTTTGTATGATGTCACTACACTCTTGGGTCAAGGCTACAGTCTCATATTCCTCTAATCGCCTCTTATTTGATAGAATCTCCTTTAAGAATTTGGCATAGGATGGCATTTGGGAAATGGCTTCAACAAATGGGATGTTAATATGCAATTTTTTAATATTTCTATGAATTTCCCAAACTGTTTTTCCAACTTAGCTTTAACTTGCCTTTGAGGGAAGGGTAGTGGAGGCTTATAAGGTGCAGGTGCTACATATCTCTCAACATTCTCCCCTTTCTCACCAATATGCTCTTTCTCACTTGTCACCAACTTCTCACTCTCATTACCCACATCCCTATGGTCATTCCTCATCATTGGTCCTTCTAACTCTTTTCCACTCCTAAGTGTGATGGCATTGATAGATCCCTTTGGGTTAGTTTCAGGTTGCCCAGGAAACATCCCGGAAGGTCTGGAAGAAGAGCTAGATTGTTGGGTCACTTGAGTGATCTGATTCTCTAACATTTTATTATGGGTGGCTAAAGAGTCAACCTTAGAAGTTAGGTTCTTGATGGCATCGCTCATGATTCTATTCTGACTTCTAAATTCTTCATTTTGTTTATTCTGGGATGACACAAAATTCTCCATCAAGCTCTCTAAGTTAGACTTTTGGGGACTGGGGTAAGGGAGTCTAGGGGCCTGGAAACCTGGAGGTCGAAAATTTGAGTGAGGAATCGGGTTCAGGGGTGGATTTTTATAGGGTAAATTAGGATGATTTCTCCACCCCGGGTTGTATGTATTGGAAAAAGGGTCCCCTTTCTGATTAAAATTATTCATATAATTAACATGTTCAGATAATGGTGCATCAGGGGAAGGGGAGTTTCCAATCTGACATTCCACAGCAGAATGTCCAATGATACCACATATTTCACAGTTAGTAGAGTTAGATGCTACTGAATTCATGCTCATCTTGTCAAATTTTTGAAATAAAGCATCTACTCTAGAAGCAATGTGGTCTAATGCATCTACATCATACCTCCCGCTCTTTTGGGGTAAAGAGCGCTCACCTGACCACTGGAAATGATTCTGTGCCATATCCTCTATGAGTTGTTTTGCATCTCGTACACTTTTGTTCATCAATGCACCACCCGCTGCAGCATCCACGGTCATCCTTGTGTTGTAGAGAAGACCGTTGTAGAAAGTGTGAATTATGAGCCAATCCTCTAACCCGTGATGTGGACACATCCTTAGAAGATCCTTGTACCTCTCCCATGCATCATACAATGACTCCCCTTCTTTTTGAGTGAAGGTTGTTATCTGATTTCTTAATTGGGCTGTTTTGCTCGGAGGGAAGTACTTAGCAAGGAACGCTTTTGAGAGTTGGTCCCATGTAGTGATGGAGCCTGATGGAAGTGATTGCAGCCAAGCCCTTGCATTGTCTCTTAGTGAGAAGGGAAACAACCTTAGCTTGGTTGCATCATCCGACACTCCATTCATCTTCAATGTGTCACAATACTCCAGAAAGATTAAGATGTGGAGGTTTGGGTCTTCGGTTGGAGTGCCTCCAAATTGGTTTTGCTGAACCATGGAGAGGAGTGAAGGCTTGAGTTCAAAATTGTTGGCAGCAACATTAGGCTTCAAGATGCTAGATTAAGAGCTATGGGTGGTTGGTGATGCAAACTCCTTCAAGGATCGGTCTTGATTGCCTTTGTTTTCTTGGTCTCCCATGGTGTTTTTGCTTTTCAAATTATCCTTTGTTTCTCGTGCCTTCTTCCTAATATGACGCAAGGTCCTTTCAATCTCGGGATCACACTCGATTGGTTCTCCAAGTCGTAAGGATCTGGGCATACAAGGGTGCCTGCACTAAAAAAAAGAATAAGTCAAACGAAAAGAGAGGAAAAATAAAAACAAAATAAATGAAAGAAAATGTCTAGTCTAGTCAAACAATGAAAAAGTCAATATTAACAATGCCGAAGTCCCCGGCAACGGCGCCAAAAACTTGTTCACTCAAATCTGCAAGTGCACAGATATCATTATAGCGATGCAAGGTCGTATCCTCAGGGACTTCGTTGTTAATTACTGATTTTCACTATTTTGTGACTATCTAAACCAATCGTGTTAAAAAGTATGATTTTTGACTATCAATAACGAACACGCTAGCTAGTATCAACGACGAATTCACTCAATTAAAAGGATCTAGGATTGAACTTCGGTTTCAACTCTAGTTCGAATCAATATATTAATCAATTGTTATCGAATCTCTCAATGCATTAAGAACGACTAACCTATGATAACTATTAGTCTCTTTCGACGACTAAAAGTCGTGCTTAATTCAGCCTAACAACCTATTTTCATAGTGTTAAACCAAATTAAACCCATTAAGGTTCTTGTTAATCCCTCATGTTCTCAAGAATAATTAACCTACTTTCGTGATCAATTAATTCTTGTTCAATTACTATTTTCCGGCGTCAATCTAACCTTTCAGTTCAAATCAACATCCTAAAAGAATTAAATTAGTGACCAATTGAATTAACCCTAGGCAATTAGATCTAGCAGTTGAATAATACAAATCGAACGATCAAAAACAATAACAATCAGTTCATTAATTCATAACCACAGCCGAACCTTGTTCAATCCCAGATAAGACAATTACTCACACATAATTGAAATAGAAAACATGATAACAATATATAAGATCATAATCATAAACTAGAAATTGAAATAGATCAGAAAGATAAACCGTAGTGTCAAAGTTGCACACAATTCTCCACAAACAGCAGGTTCCAAAGCAAAAGAAAAACCTAATCTAAGAGTTTTTGTAGAGAGAAGAAGAGAAGAAGAAGAAAGAAAAATCAAGATCTCCAGCCTCTGGGTTCTCTCTGATGCTTCAGGGCGTCTCTTTTTAATTCTTTTACAAAAACGTGTTGAAAGATAACTTCAAATAATGCTCCAGATCGCATGATAACTGACTGCTGTCATCCAACACGGCTGTGCAGATCGACATGACCAGGCCGTGTTTAATTCTGTTTCGCTCTGCTTTCTGGGCTTTATCTTCTGTAATCAACACGCCTGTGTTGTTGAACACTGGGTGACCGTGTAGCCACTTTCCTTGCATTCCTTGACTCCTTCTTGACTCCGAATCCGCGCTAAGCTCCAGTAATTCCTACACAATATATAAATAGAGCAGTAAACAAGAACTAGGGAGCTTAACAGGGCAAAAGTGTAAGGAAATACATCAAATAACAACAAATCCATAGGTGAAACATAGTCAAATTATAGATAATATTCATGTTTATCACTTGAACATCCAATATGGTGATAGATTCGAGCAAAGGGAACCTTCTACTGAGGATAAAGTGGTCCAAATTAATATGGGTGACGAGGCAAACGCAAAACCTATATTTATCATTGACAGTCTCCTACCAGAAGAAAAAGAGGAGTTAATTTCACTCATTAGGGAATACATTTGATGTCTTTGCCTGGAACTATGAAGATATGCCAGGACTTAACCCAAATGTGGCGATGCATCACCTCAACATCAAACCGGATGTCAAACTTGTCAAGCAATAACAAAGACAGTTTTGTCCGCAGATTATGGAGCCGATTGAAGCTGAAGTCAAAAAGCTAATTGACTCAGGCTTCATCAGAGAGGAGCAACATCCAGATTGGATGACAAATATTATTCCAGTCCTTAAAAAGAACGAAAAAAATCAGAATCTGCATTTACTTCAGAGATCTGAATACCGCCTGCCCAAAAGATGGTTTCTCTCTTCCTATCATGGATGTTATTATCGACAACACGTGTGGATTTGAGAGGATGTCTTTTATAGATAGGTTCTCAGGGTACAACCAAATAAAGATGTATTTAATAATTGAATCCCTATCTAACCAACTATTCATAAAAGCTCTTCCATAATATGAGATTAATTATTTGCAAATAATATCTTACATTCAATTTCTCCAATATCATTTAGTTTAGGTAACTCTTTCGAGCATGACAATTCACCTATTTGCTCATGCCTAAATTGTAATTTTCATGAATATAAATAAAAATTATTTTAAAATATCTAAATATTTTATTTTTATAAGAAAATAAAATTTGTAAAATATATTGTATAACTACCTGTCAGCAAAAATTTAATAACTTTATGGGAATGCATAATAAATTTACTTATCATAATGAACATACTAGATTCTATCTAGATATCCATCATTTTCCTAAATAAAATTTAGCAACATAATATTTCAGTTATGTAGCACTTGCTAAACAAGCTTAACCATCGCATCAAAGCATACTAAATTGTCAAATTAAAATAACAATGTCGTCAAGTCAAAGAGACCATGTAACAATATGAATTATTAATCTCCTAGGTGACTTGTCCTAGAGAATTCAAATATGGTCTAGTACTATACACATCACAATGTGTGTTTATAACATGCACCCGGGGAATCCCCATTCCCAGTGGTTGAGACCCACCACCACATCTCATATGTTGTTGTTATGCATAATAATCTGTTATAATAAAGTTATCATGTACTAGTTATAAGTTAAGCATGAGTTTAAGAAATCTCTAAGTTAGATCACATCTCCAAGCAAGTGACACATCACAATGCATGATCAGACAAAAACATTTCTAAGGATATATAACAATTATATAAATAGGACCCAAATTATATATGAAACAATTAAATCTATTAACATTACAAAAATATTACATAATTTTTATTGGATGTTCAATGACATATTATTACTAATCCAACATAATGCTCATATGCTTGTGAAATGTATAATGCTTATGCTTGCAAGGTGTTTGACAATATACCACAAAGAGACCAAACCCTGAGACACACAGATGGATTGCAACAAATCCGTGATGAGACAAAGCATAAACCAATATCAATGCATTACTCAAGACCAGAGAAGAGAAGTTGTGAGCACCGCTTTAGAGAAATTGCATAAGTACAAAGAGGAGAAGGAATTCATTATAAGTAGTGATCCTTGTTACTACTCTAGTTATTAATATTTTGTTAAAGCTAGCTCATTTTGTATATGAAGATAGATGGCTCCCCAAAGCATATAGCCGAGTAAGACTCAAATTATCGAGATTTACGAACAATTATGCTGCTCACAAAGTTTGCAAACTAATGTCAGTATCTTTCTTCAGTTGGATGTTGTTAGATCTAAACCAAAACTTGAGATCTAAAACCATATAGCCATGATTAATTCGAAGAGATTAACAATAATCATAAAAGAGCGGAAGCTTATACCTGAATCCATAGATGAAAACTTGATTTGGGTTTTGGATCTTCTAACCTTAGGGTTTCTCTAAATCCGAATTTCTCTAGCTAGATGGGGGTGTAGAGAATTAGAGAATGTAACCCTAGGTTAGGGACCATAACCCCTTATTTATAGATGTTATACTTTTGTAATTTAGCCCATCAATAAATCACAATTACAACCTGGTATCTGCACATATAACCCCATGACTTATTTAAATACCAAATTAACCCAACTTAATTGATCACTTTAGTGGGTTATCCTGAAAGATAGCAATACACATTGATTAATCATATGTGCCCACAAATAGATTTATTAGATTAAATCCAACAATCTCCCACTTGGGCACCATATGATTCCTTAAATTGTGTATAACCTTATGAGCTCAAAATTGCTATCACTGAAAAGGTATTTCCGAACAATCTCGTCCATTGACTATATCAATATAGGATCAAAGCGGCCTTCGTCACATTTATCGTGACTCGACCCATCAATGGTCACATATACCAATACAATCAAACGACATAGATCAATCATGGATGTGCAGCATGAAAATTACATGCAATGTGATCAGTACATGTCTATTTTCAACTGGTCCTCCTTAGTGAGGTCAAAACCAAACATAATGTAACAGAGTGTCTTAACTGAATACTTTATTCTGATCAGACAATACAACCAAACATAAAGCACCACAATTACAAACTCCCACTAAAACATAATATCCTCAAATAATACCACACCCATATGAGCAGTATGCTCATGAAAGACCTTACGTGGCAGTCCCTTAGTAAGAGGATCAGCTATCATGGAGTTTGTCCCAATGTGCTCTATAGATATTTGTCCATTCTGTACCATTTCTTTCACAACCAGGAACTTAATGTCAATATGTTTTGACTTAGTTAAGCTCCTGTTGTTATTGGAATACATTACTGCAGATTTATTGTCACAATATAATCTTAGTGGTCTTTCAATATTTTCCAAAATACGTAGTCCCGTGACAAAATTTCGCAGCCATATTCCCTGATTGGATGCCTCATAGCAAGCTACAAATTCTGCTGCCATAGT